TTTCTTAGAGTCCGTGGAATCGCTGAGGATGCTTGTGACATTCACTCTGTTTTTATGATTAAGAGACAGATTCTGTTGTCTTTGTTGTTGTTCCAGTGAGGAATAAACTGGGTCCTGTCCACAAGCGTACTGATTGTTGTCAAGAACAGAGACGAAATCAGCAACCAGAAACTTGGTTTGTGAAAACAAAGAGAACTCCAACATTACAGCTACCGTAAATTTTGCAGTCCAATCCCGCAATCATAATCGTTCTCAACATTAAAAAAGTTGCTGTACCATGCATAATCAAGGTAACATAATACGACTGCCCAGGCTCTTCCCAAAGCGCCTCCGGCTTACTGAACTTCAGACAAGTCAAAAGAGACAAAGATCCTTCTACCGTATGTGAGCAAACCGACTAGAAATTGCAAAACTCTAATGTTGTTGTGACTGCTGCTTTCGAAAAAAAAAAAAAAGACTCATTGAGTCTGATGTCATCAGACTAGCAGTCTAATGCTTGGTACCGTACGGTAGAAGAAGTAAAACCTACCTATGTTAACAATCAGAGCTCTAAAAAATTCTCAAAACATAAAATTCACTAAATACCTGTTTCTACTAAACGGTTCACAGTTAAAAAACACCAGCTTCTCTATTATATAATAAATATAAATTTATCATTTTGTTTGCTTGTCTTTTTGTTTATTTATCTGTATTAATATGGTATATGAGATGTATAGAAAAGCCAACTGCAAGATAAAACTCGGGAAATGCCTTGGTAGGGTGCTGGGATAATAGTGGCTACCCGCACAGGATAGTGACTTGTCAACTTCCGGAACGCGGTGGTATTTTCAACGCAATTTTACCCACCGGATAATGGACGCTACAGCATTTGTTGAAACTATCCTAGCTGTTCGATATGCTCCTCAACTTATTAAATCTGGTACATCGATTAGGCAGCGGATTTTGAGTTTAACTCCGTAAATCCATGTCGGTAATTAAAATTGGTTACCATACAAAATTCTTGGGCGGGAATTGAGCGTTTCTAGATCATTTCCGGTAATTTAAGAAAACTTTGCAGTATGTTCGTAGAAGTTATTACTTTATGGTGGCCAAAGAAATCATTAGTATCCTGCGCAGAAATCTTGCGTGGTACTGAATCTTAACCGCCTATGTTTACGAAGCCACATCTGCAAAAACCCAATGCTTAGTTGGCAGCGTACATTTAATTATCTGGAAAGGACAGCAAATTAATTACCTGCAAGTGTAGGCTGCAGTCTGGCACAACGTGCTTAGAAAGGAAACATAAGCTGGGGAAGATAGGCAATTTGAAGAGCGATTTGGCAAATTTTGGAGTCTTAGACGGCATAACTGCTTCGCAGTTTGCTGTAGTCGTGGGGTCACGTCGACCACGTCCAGCCTAGCCCAAGGCTTGTGTAGTGTCGGTGGGACCACGGGAGTGATGGCTGAAGATTTATAATTGGCAATGAAAGATTAAAGAGAGGTTTAATCCTGAGTGGAAATAAAGAGTCAAAGAAGACAGCGAGAAGGGCGGTGAAATAGCAGAAAGTGGTTCCGAACAATGACGTTAACTTATGGCTGCAAAAATGTTTTAATGCCCTTGTTTGAGATAAGTCAGTCAGTAACGATTTTGTTCTAAAGTCTAGAGATATGCAGGAAACAATCTATAAAGCACTCAGAAGGGTGCTGTATAGGCGGTGTAAGGTGGAGTGGTGCCTGGTGTGAAATGCAGTTACGTACACTCAGTTCTTTATCACGTTAAGTCAGAAATCGATTCGAATGTTGGTTTCGCCAGCAAGCGAGCACTAATAGAACGGCTTCTACTCATGCGTCGAAATTATTAAAAAAAAATCAGCCTGACAATCCTAAAGATAGGTTGTTACTTGTGATAAATACGCTGCCTGATGAAAAGCTCACACTTTCTCAGACGTGGAGCTCGAGAGTTGAATGCCTCCGTTACGGCTCCTACCGCTAGTGTGCATTCGTTCCTGTGGAGCGGATACGACCCTGGCAAGACAGATGACGAAGGGGAAGGCAAAAAGTCGGTTGGTGTTTTGGTGAAGGAGATAGGTGTCGTAAGAAACTTGTTTATTACGGCACACTTCTTAAGAACTTTTAATTTAAGTTCAGATGGTGTCCTTCGTTTGTCTCCGTACTGAGCGAATGACTAAAAGAGCAGCGCTCTATTGCCTAGCTGTTATCCTCTTCTCCAACTTTCTTACCAAATGAGCACCTAACAAGTCAACACTGGAGCAGCCAACGTAAAACATTACTCTAGAATACACAGAAGTTGTGCGTAGACACTCTTAGAGTTTGTATTTCAGAACATGTCGGGGTCGGCATCTCGGAATACAAAAAGTGTAAGTAGGTCAGCGAGATAAATTGCTACTTTGGGGCGGTTGGACATTAAAAAACTGTGGTGACACAGAATGCTGTAGCGTACTTAATAAGCAAGCAAGCTCCAGAGGTAGACAGCGTTCAGCCGCCTGCTTAACTGCTTTTTTTCTTGAAAAAGAAAAAAAAAAGAGCTCCCAAAGAATAAAACTGTACCTTGACTTGACGCACTAGTTAAGTCATTTTAAAACTACCCTAAGGACTTCACGCCTTCCCGAGTACTTTTAAATCAATTTGAATGTCAAAAACTAGTTCGACACTTTGCTTAAAACTCCTTTGGAAGTCATTAACTTTGACATAGCAGTTCTCAAGTGCGTTTGCTCCCAAATTGACAATTATGGACTTCGTTTCCCAAAAGTCTTCCTGCCTTCGCTCCTTTCAGAAACACGCACTTACTTCAAATTTGTTCATTTCAGCAGTTCAGGTTCTGTGCAGAGGTAACCTAGGCCAGTTTTATTTTAGCAAGCCACAAACTTTGATATTACAGGTACCAATATGTCAAAAACAAGCAAGTAAAGAAAATCAAAACAAAAATCTCCATCAACGTAGCGGCAAATAAACTAAGTTACTTCATCCCCCTTTTCAAAAAAATCTTTTTCCGGTGAAAATAATACCGAGGAACATTTCATAATTCAAAAAAGATTAGTGTCAAGAAGAGCTCTACAGCAGTAAAAACACGCCAAGATAGGCACACATATGCATATCCAGATTTTCAAACTGCCAGCCGTGAAAAAACAGTAAAATTGTCACACTTTACAAAGCCTACAAGGATTACTTCTTCTACCTAACATCAAAGCTTGTCCTCCTAATAAAAATAGTAAGAAACACCCGGTTCACTGGAAATAACTGCTTGTTACGATCAAAAAATCTCCCCTTCCACTGACTCCTTACCTCAATTCCACGCACTGTTACGAGCGGATGAAATACACGTATTAAAAAATACCCGTAAGAGATACAAAGATAAACAAGGCCATCGCTGCTATCCTGCAGTAATGGCAAAGAAATACATCCACACTTAGTGGAGGGATTAACAAAGATTTATCAAAAGGTGCTTGCATCGTGCTGTTCCAGAGCAGTTCCCACGTGATATCCAAAAAATTAAACTCGTCGGTACAAATAAATGTAAGCCAACGATGAAGGAGGACTTTGCGACCTTGCAACTTTCTCATCATTAAAAATGTACCAGATACCATCCTGAAATCAAAAAGCTAAGATTAAGCATGGCATTTTGACCATCAGTAATCAATAAACTTCTATCGAGAAAATATTACTTTCGGCAAAAAAAAAATAAGATTTACTTTTTTTAAATGGGCTACGTAATGACCACTGTGCGGTGATGACCCCATATGTGAAACAAAACCAACCAAATTATAACACGCACTTCCATCTCTATACTTTCTGTCTACAACAGAGCTCTCTAAAACGTTGTAAAAAACTGCTCTAATTTATATCCAATATTCTCATGAGAAAATTCCTTATATAATCATGATAGCTTACATGCCAGAAGAAGCATATAAACCAATTTTGAAAGAACCGGTAAAATTATAAAAAAGTCAGTGACACGAGAAGCAGATACCATGTGATGAAGATTGAAAAACCCACAAAATCTCAAACTACCTGAACACTCTTCTTTGGGCACTTTGTCAGCATTAGCTATTAGCCAGTTAGCAGCAGATTCCAAATTATTTCCTTGTTCTTTCAGTGCATACTTAGCCTGATGAGCAGTAAACCCAAGCTCCGCCAACTGACTGACTAATGAAGGATCCACATTCAAATTTTTAGCGGGCTAAACCAAACAATACGAAAAATAAATATGAATGGTGAATTTGAAACTAATTACATGTCATAGGACTTAAACCTAGCTAACAGTTTACAGGAGCAAACATGAAAATAAAACCTTGGGAAGCGCTGGGTGTTCAGTATTCAAATCTGGATCTTCTGCGTGACCACATATCCAGTCTATCGCAGTGTCTACATCAGCACCTTTTGTCTCATATAATGCGCGACGTGCTGCTGCTCTTGAAAAACCCATCGCGCAAATCTTAAATTACCAACGTCGAGGAAGCAATTTGAAAAACAAAATTCCTGGAGCACAAATTTCACGAACTAGCCAGCCCGTAAACAGAAAAGACGACTGGTGCCCCAAGGTGGTGAGAGTAAATGAAAATGTGGAAAGGTAGTGACTGCTAATCAACCCTAAACCATGTACCGTTTCAACAAACCGTTCGTTGACTTCTGTCGCTGGGCGCTCCACATTATCCGACGGAGTATCTGGCAGTAAGACTTCACCAGGCTGCTTCCCCCTGGCACGAAATTCCGATAAATCAATTGTCTCATCCATCAGCACATCAACATCCATTTTCGAAATGGTCCAGTCGTCGTTTAGGACAAATTTCTGAAAGCAAACAGTCCTTCAAAAAGCGAAGACGAAAAGGTTACAGAAACCACGGTGAAAAAAAAAGAACCTTTAGTTGTAAGATGAGAAAGTCTGGGAAAGTTGCAAAGCGTATTGCTTGCGTAGCACCTAACTGCTCATTAGTTGTTGGGGAACGAAAGTCCGGTATACATTGGTCAGCAAACGTAGCTATCAAGCATTCACGGAGGGTAATCGTTGGCCTAATTGGCTTTTCCTCATTCCTCACTAGTCCTCTCTTTTCAAAAAGATAGAAGTAATATGATGTTCAGTGTTACAAAATCTACGAAGGACGGTTCTAACCATTTTTCAAAGAGTAAAGGAGTGAATTCACTACCGTTCCAGGCGGCAAGGGTACTGTAACCGAAAAAACAAGCTCCTCGCTTTCGTCATATCTAACACAATGAGAAGCGTTGTCAACAAAACGATTTTCAACACTGAACCTCACAGCGTCCACTGGGCTAGGATGCAAATTATCATCAATTTTGGTCAGAAAGTATCTGTAAAAGAAAGCAATAAGTAAAGGAACGGAAGTCGAAGCACGATAGAAAGATTGCGAGGACAAAGCAGTGTTTAGAAAAAACCTTATAAATTCTTCAGCATCCTGCTGTCTAAAAGTAGCAAACTCCGGATGCCCTCTACCAACTACTCTCTTGAACTGTGTTGGTGTAATGCAGTTGAATTTCCCGTCTTTCTAAAAAAAGTAACGAGGTACATAAGCCCCAAGGAATATAAAAACTGTTGGTGAAAATTTCAAGACACAGAATGTCAGTACCCGTCCGAAACAAGAAAAAAAGAGCATAACACTTTGACACTTACATTTACGCATTAAGAAAAAACTAAAAACAGTTGCAAAAATAAGCAAATGAGAATGCTAAATACTAATACAAGGAGCATGGAGATGGCAATTAAACTGAGTTAACCTTTGAATAGTCACCGCTTAATAAGCACGAAATAACCTTCGCAGTTTGACAATTGAAATCGTCATTAGATGCAAGAGGAGAGACCTTTCCGAAAATTTCGTCCACATGGTTCCCGTAAACATCTGCTATCTCAGGAATTTGAAGCAGCATTTGAACTGACTACAGTAAGACCAATATTTCTACGCGCACAATGAACCAAAAAAAAAAAAAAAGCAATAAACTACCGCATTAATATAACACGAAGAACCAATGTTAATCATCCCAGTAAGGCCAGGACCAAAGGCCAATTCCAAATTTGCGCCATCTTCAGAGCACATACTCCACTCCCACCTAAAAAAACTCCACAATAAGAAAGTACTTATATAACAGCATTTTAAACTCGAGTTTTATGCACCCAACAGCGCCCCTTTTACCATTGAAGTCTAAACTGCAACATTTCAAATCTCAATGTGATAGTCCCTTAAATACTATGAAACACGATGAAAATTTCTGGCTTACAGAAAAATGGAGTTCCTGAGCAAAAGTTTTTGTTTCAAATTTTAAATAATATACAGAAGCATAACATACGGTTGTTCTGACAAAAATTAAAAGAGAAGGCCCTGAAGACAACAGAAATACATACTTTTTGTTCATATCTAACTCAAGTTCTAAGGTACTCTTTTCAGTTTTCTCCAAGACATCCATGTTAATACCGAAATGCCTTAAATGGGTTTCCAAGTTTGGATCGTCAACGAAATCATCTTCATCGTAACTGAAGACATCAGCAGTTCCCTTGCTTATTGTTCCTAGCTTCACCACGAGAGGATAATTAAACCTTAAATATCGTAGAAACCTCGGTAAATACCACCCTATAACAAACAAAAAAATTAGGTGGAAACATTGAAATAGCTATAAAACGCACTCTTCATAGTGTTCCTTCATATGATTATTTCCTTTCGTCCTTACACCTTCACTGATGTACTGTGACCGCCCACATTTGATGCAACCATCAGTTAGGTTCAGCCATAAATTTTCTGTTAAGCCGCATCCTTCATACTGACACTTCCAACCAGTAGAAGGGATCTTGACTCCATTATCGAGCTTAAAATAATCGGCTAAAACCAGTGAACAAAATGCAACCACATCTTGAATAATCTTACATTTCTTATCTCCTCACTCACTCTCAGGTCAAAAAGCCGTAATTTACAACTATTAAATTCTAACCTGCTGAAGATTGGCATGTTTTGTCGTTACTTTTGTCTCACCGTCCCACTCGCTAACACCACTTTCCAGCTGGTCGGTTACACGAACTCCACTGCTTGAAGCAATGCCTGCACACGCCGTATAAAGTTCACCCTTCAAACTGAAATTCCAGGACATTATCCACTTCACGTAAACAACGAAAAATTAACTTTAGCAAAATGTGAATCAAGAAGCTACAATTTACAAAGGCAACACCAAAGGTTCAGTAGTAGAAGTGCAATTTACCGAGAAAAGCTGATTTTTTTATCCAGTTCCGGAAATAAAACAAAGTCTGCTGATTCCACTGTACGCGACTGCGGTGAAGAACAAAACCCACCATCAACTCCAATAGCCAACTGAACATACAAAACTAAAAAAGGGCACCGGAATAGGCACCTGCTTCGAGGTACTATATTTTAAATAACCAAAAAAAAAACAAAGGCCAAGAGAAAGAAATTTTTGATCCCATTAGAATAACAGGGCTTTATTGAGTACTTTTGTAACTTTATCCTGCGGTTCGTCAGCGTTTTCTGCCAGCTGCTTTTCCTGCTTCAAATGAACTAAGGCTTTCTGACCAGATGATTCGCAGTAGCCTCTTATGTGCCTCTCACAAAAGCCGGCAAAAGTCTTCATACATATATAGAGGCCACCTGAACAAAATAAAACTTCATGATGAATTACTCGTTGCAAACTAAAGAAACAAACAGCTAATCTGCTATTGAAACCATGATGGCTTTGCTACAGACGTGGATAAGTGTAAATCAAAAAAATGCAAATAAGCTTCAATTAATCTTATAAGGTAAAAATGATGCAAAAAAAAAGAAAAAAAAATGATGCGATTATATATGACCTGGATGTGACGGCGTATGAAAACAGTACATGCATTCATCCCTGAAAACTTTACTTCGTGGGTGAGGTATACTGTACTGCGACAACAAATCAGAACCTGTAGTTTCGTCGACAGAATTAGAAAATACTTCCATCCCCAAATAGCTAGATAACCTTCGTAAACTGCCCCTAAATAAATCCTTCTTGGAAAAGACTGAAAAGAGTACAAAGAATAACATAACAAATCGAATAAAGTGACTTTACTAGCCAGGTTTCTCATAATTCTAAAAAGCTCACTAGTAACGCTGAAGATGTACTAAACAGAAGAGCTAACAACACAGAGTTAGCTATTTGTAAATCCTCATAAGGTCTAACTGTAACAAAAACCATAAACAAAATGCAAAATTTTGCTTGGGTTATACCATTCGCAACCAAAACTTACAGTGAATAAAAGCAAAAACACATGATTTCTCGATCAATCCACTTCTGACCAATAACTGCCAGGTAAAATTAAACTAGAACTTACCATAACAAATCAAATTAATTGTAACTGTTCACTCTTAAGAAGAAACTTTTGTACAGTGGTCATTATTTTCGAAAAAAATGACCAAACCCTTATAATATACCATCGTAAATAAATTATGAACAACCAGAGAGAAATCATTTTAAGAGGAAGAAAAACACTCACTACCTACAAAACCTGCCAGCAGCTAAACCAATATCCCTCTCTAAATAAATTGTGTGCCAATATATATATATATATATATATATATATATATATATA